TTTTCTTTTCTTTTCTCGTTTCTCCTCGTTTCTCGCGACAGGGGAGGTATTTCCTTTTTCCTTTCTTCTTACTTCAAATGGGGGGGATGGATTTTTCTTTTTTCAATCGATAATTCGACACGACGTGTCCATCTAGATTTCCTTCCATTCATCTATCTACGCGCTTAACTTGTGTATTATGTAGATCTGCTTCTTCGTACGATCATCATTTCCTTATATATTTATAATATTTATATACGTTATGCTCTCGACTCGATGGGAGTTTTTGCATAGTGTTTTTTTTTTTCTTCCACGTCTTTTAATAACGAACAACATTAATGATTACTCATTAGGCTATTCTTTTAATTGGACAATAAATAAAATAGTCTATATACTGCGCCTTCCTTATTTCTTCTATCTTTCAGGCCGTCCATCTTGTTCTCTTCTTCTCTTTCTTGCAAATTCGCAGTTTCGATCGTTTCACCTCTCTTCCTTTTGCTTCTCGAACTAATTCGATTAAGAGTCCTCTCGACCGCCTGATATCTCTTCGCAATTCGAAATTTCGTCGTTCGCAATTTCTTTCTCTCTATTCTTCCTTTCACACACTCACTCTCTCCCTCCCTTTCGCGCCTCTTTCATCCACTCTGCTTTCGGAACGGAGATCGATAATTAGGAGCAATATACATATATTTGGTATTTGCCAGCTGTTCGACAGTTTGGCTTCGACACGAACGTTAATTACACTCACACAGTCTCTGGCTACATTTGGAAACAGCTAATCGACATACTACACGCACGTACTATAAGACATCTTCTTTTTTTTCGCTTTTTTGTTTATTTTATTAATCGTGTGTTGTTTTGATCCTCGCACAACGTTCGAGAGACTTTCTTCCTCTCCCTGCTCCCCTCTTCTTCCCCTTTCGGCTTTGTTTACGTTCTATAATAGTTTCCCAAGCTGTCCTTCGATGCGGCAGAACAGTCAAATACATTGTGCGAACGTTTGCTTCTTCGGCGATGAGAAGGCCCGTCCGGAAGTCGCCTAAGTTACAGTTGCACCGATTGGAGGTCGTCCGAAAACCGAGTACACACGACCCGGATTAATCGTCGAATTTCTTCTCGTCTCTCGCGCGGAAATAATTACGAGATTTCGCGAACCCAGTCTGCCGCACGGACTTGTTCAGTTGGCGGAATGCAGATTCTGTTGGGCAGAGGATTGGTACGGTTTCATGCCCCGTTGATCGATCGATCGGGAAGATCGTGTCGCGATTCGATCGACCCGGGGAAAAGCCTCATCGGAAATTTGTTTTCTTACGAAGAACAACACCTGGCGCGCGTGGTCGAGCTAAACAATCGTTTTCAAAACTAACAGGACAGACACGATTCACGACAGAATCGAACCAAGTCAAGTCGCCGCGTCGAAGTAGCAACGTCAGAAGAACTTTCTGATCGTTAGTGAATCCTTTTGCTTCCAGTGTCACGATATCTCTCGATCATCTTTTAATTCTCAGCCTTCGTCAACGATCTTTGGCTCCGTCTCCTTCTCCCTCCGATGTGATCATCGATCTTTCTCTCTCTCTCTGTCTCTCGACTAAACGCGCGAAAAAGCAGTAGCCCTCGTTCGAGGATCGACGAACGAAACGGGTGCACGTTTTCTATCCGCTGCAACAAAGGATATTCTCAGCCAGCCACCTGTGCAGGCCGGACAACTGTTTCTCGGATGAGTCCTCGACCACCAGGCCGTATCACTTGATCTCCTCTCGACTCGGTGAACGAGGAGGATGCGACGATGAAGGAGCCTCGGTAACCTGCCTCTTCGGCCGAAAGCTCGCCGTCAGGGAAGAGATCCAACCGCTCGGCGACTGCGAGTTCTGATCGTGCAAAGAGTCGCTGTTGCTGTTGCTCCTGGTGCTGTCGATGCTCATACCGGACTTGAATCGCGACAACAAACCCGGCGAGGACTTTTTCGACGTTGCCGCCGTTGTATAGGTTGTCGGCTTCTTCCGTGACTTGGTCGATTCTTTGCACAGCATCGAGTCCAGGCTACCCGTGTGAGGACGTTCCTCCGGTTTCTTTGGCTCCAACGAACCGAGCATCACGCTTTCAGTCTGTTTCGTCATCTTCGAGATGTCCTCCATACTAGCCGAGCTTCTTCGAATTTCTACCTTGCTCGTATCTTCCTGCACAGCCTCTCTCGACCCGCCTTCAGCCTTCACGACGATCTCCGGCTGTTGCTTACTCGTGCGCACCTCGATCTCCCTGAACTCGATGTCCAAGCTCTTCTGACCTTTCATCTCTCTCATACTCTGCGACTTACCCTCCGGATTGGAGAAATTCCGGCGGTGTTTCGACAACGAATTGTCCAACATCGCGCCTGGCAAAGCCTCCAACGAAGCGGACGATCTCTTCTCCTTCACGAACACCATCCTCCAGCTCTTGTTCTTGTAGTCTGTCGATTTCCTCACCTTCGGCAACGTCATCGCCCGCTTGTCCACCGAGGACAGCTCGACCACCGTCGCTATAGCCTTGCTCTCCTTCATCGAGGGTTTCGCTAGGTTGCAACGTTTGCACACCACCAGAGAGTTGTTGTGCCTGGAAGAGGTGGTCGCCGTGGCCGCCGCGTTGCTCACCGAGTTGCTCTTGTTCAACAACTTGGACACGTGTTTCGTCGGTTTCGACGTGGGAGGATCCTTCGAGTCGAAGCTGATGCTCAACCGATCCGTGAAGTTCCTCAATCTCGAGAAAATGGACTTGTGATTGTTCGATTCAGTTTTGTCCTCGCAACAGCACCGGAGCCCGACCACCGTCTCCCTCTGAATCTCTTTGCGACTAGACCTGACCTCCTGATCGTTCTCCGCTATACTACTACTCGTCAGTTTCTTCAGGTTGTTCCTCTGCTGCGTCTCGACCACCACGTTACCGTTACCCTCGATCAGCCTTCGTTCGTTCAATTTCCCGTCTAACAGAACCGTTTCATGCTTCTCCAGCTCCTCCAGGATCCTGGTTCCCTCCGCGGACATCGCGCTGACAGGCGAGCTCAGATCGCTGCTAGGATTCTCTCCTTTACTGCGTCTTCTTTCGCGTCCGTGCTCCCTGACAGCCCTGGCCAGGTCGTGATTATGATAATCCAATGATGATTTCTCTCGACTACCCTTCCGGCTACCCGGGTAGCTTTTCCTACCTGTTGCCGGCCCAGCCAACGTCCCCTCCGTTGAGATCTTGAACTTCAACGTCTTCTCGCTCACCTCCACCTCCGTCGCTGTCTCCACGTCGGAATTCTCGAGGTTCTCCGCGTCCTCCCCCGTCAGATTCTCCGTGATGTCGTCGTCGGTGGATCGAGATCGCGAGTGAAACGTGCCGGTGGAACGTTTCGAGCGCATACTGTGCGACGAGGTGGACTTGACGACGCTCGCCGACACCGTGCTACCAGGCGTCATCATCATCGGCGTCGATTCGCTCAAGTCAGCCACGCTTTTCCGATGATGTCGCTCGTCTTTCGCCGCCTCGTTCAGTTTCCGATAGTACTCCAACGCTTCCCTCACCGGCTGAACAATTAGGCTCTGAAACAGAATTCTTTCTCTTATGCCTCTTGAGAATCGAGACGAATTATCGATTTCGATAATACGTCCAATTGAATGCACTTTATCGTCGTACTAATTTCATCTCCTGTCATTACTCAAGCTAAATCTACACGATGACAAGGTACGTTCAGAGATGTTCACAGTGAAATAATCAACTATCCACTAATGCGATGGTAGTCCTTTCGAATAAATCCATCTGATAATACGTACATGTGTGTCGTAACGTCTCGAAAGCTAAATTCATTCTCACGGATTCGATTTACCTTATATATCATTTAATCCTTTCACACGCTATATACATAAACACAAGTCGGATTATAATAACGTAACTTCGATGCTATTGTTCGCTAAATATACATACTTTTTCCAAAATCTTCGTGTTTCCTGAACAATTCATGTAATGTGAAGTTTATATTAATAAACGGACGGACTGCGATAAGCTTCTTCAAAGTGCTATCATGCTGCACACTTATCTTGCCCCTATTAGTCTCCTATCACCCGAACAATTCAAACGAAACTTTTCTCTATCAAACTGCCAGCTGTACTTTTAACGATAAAAGTGCGTGGAAGTACCTGCAGTTCCGGCAACAGTTCACCGAGGGCCTCGAAAAGAGGAAGTAAAACGAGACCGATGAAGCTGACCTGGGACGAGGGCTTCGTTACTTTGTCACGATCCATAAACGGCGTAACTGGAAGCCCCTCGGACTTCTCCGCGTCGCTCTGCTTGAAGAATTCCTGAAGCAACCTATCCAGCCATGGTTCCGCGACTTCCATAGGTCTGGCCTCGTTGCTGATGTCCGCTACTTTGATGAGGATCATGGACAACTGCAAAACGAGAAATTACGACCTTTCAACAGTGTTCCAAGGTAAATCTTCAATCGAGATTCAATTGACGATCTATACCACATATGGGCAACCCCCGGCCCTGACCTATTTCAGTCAAGTTTGTCCTTAATCTTCACATTAAATTGCTATGTCGCTCGTTATATTGTAAAATTTATATTATAAATAAATGAAATACGAATGAATGATAATTTGGCCCCCGAACTAGGAAAAGTTGCCCATGCCTGATCTATACTCTTATCTAAATCTATCTATGCATGTGATTTGGTCAAATCTGAGGAATTTCTTTTAGTTCTTGTTTTTGAAAATTGGTCGATATAAATGGAAATGACAATAGAATTGGAATTATTTACATTCCAAATCGACGAGAAGAAGTGAGGTGAATTTTCTGTTTATTTACACTCTGCATAGGAAGCGTATAACTGAAGACATTTTTTCTTACGTTCTATACGTCGACTGATACTCTGCAAGGGGATTGTAAATATTAAACGAGAGTCTTTCGAAAAATTCTTTTCCATACGCTGCAAATTTTCACTATCTAATAACAAGTATTGTAAACTGGAAAGAAATAGTCAGAGCTGGATAAAATTTAAGGAAAGAATACTTGAAAATATTTGGAATAAACGCGATTTTAAATAGTGTGCGAAATTTTGGCAGATCAAATATTTTTATTCCAACAATAAATTTCTCTAAATTTTCATAGCTCCGGCTACTCGCTTAATTACGAACAAACTGAAAATAAACGAAGATAAATGAAATATTTGAAAATGAAACCCGACTATTCTCCATATCCTTCGAATAAAATACTACGTTGGAATTTGAAATAGAACAGATTACCGTTTGAAATGATACTTTGCCCAGCTCTGGAAGTAACGAACGAGAAACATCCCATTGGAAATTACGCGAATCTATTTGTCAAGAGGCGGACAGCAGTGAGAACTTACCAAATTGATATGAGCCTTGCTAGAATAATCGAATTCCGGGATGATATCGGTAAACTGGCCGAGGATCTCGTTGTGCCTGGCCATGTCCGTCGCGAGAATACATCTGATGATCCCTTCGCGTACGATTCGATAGGTTGCATTGTCCAAAGACGCCAGGATGTTGCATTCCGGCGCCTCGAGGACACGAAAGGCCACGGAGCAATGATGGTTCTCCAGTGGTGAGATATCGTTGTAACGCAGAGCCAACTCTGTACGGGCGTTTATTTGATAAATGTTGTTGTACCCCGGATGATCTAGGTCGTGGCAGATGCAGGAGACGATCAGTATAAAAACCTCCAGGTCGCCGATTCGTGACGGAAGATCCACTGCCCAGGCTATCGCGTACATCTGCGATCACGTAGATTTCGTTAAATTACACTTCGATGCATTTTTCTTAATTGTCATTCTCACTGGTACTTCACCTTAATTCGGTATTCTAATGTTCGAAGGGGAAAGAAATCGATAATCCCGAGGATATGTCTGTCGAACAATTTTTCGAAATTGGACAAATTGCGAGAGCTACGAGAGTTTAAGTGACTCAATGCCTGAAGCAGATCTTCGAAAATCTTCAAACGCAATTTCCTCGGAACGAAGTTTTCTGAAACTCTCCCAAGGTTTTCTCGAAAACTATTGGACCGATCGCTTTCTTCTTTATACTGTATTTTCACAGCATATATTGCTATCGTTCTAACCGAAAATCAGATCGATATTTTCGAAACTTCGCTTATTTTTGCATCTGAAACTTGCGAAAACCGCAGGAGAAAAAGGTATTTTTAACTCGTGACCATTTCGTAGAACATTCCTTTTTATTTGATTTCAAACGAAGTCTGGACAATTAATATTAAAGAATTGTCAGAAGAAGATTTCTGACAATTTCTCCTTTTTCCTCTAATTTTCCTTTCACTTGCTTCCTCTACTTCTCGAGTTGAAAATTTACTCAACGTTTCAATATGCAAAACGCAAACGATACTCGTGAATTGTACTTTTAGATCGTGTATGTATCATCACCGGGGAAGGATGCCTACAAGCCATTCGTTAAAACGAAATACGTCGCAATTAGATAGCAACGTAAGATCCGTGCATCGTATTTTAACGAGATATATATGTTTGTGTGTGTGTGTGTATATATACTTGCCATTTGCGCTACGCAGAAGCAGTGCCTAAAGTTATGAAATGGCACTTCGTTATAGTTGTTGTAAACTTCATACAGGAAGGTCCTCAGGATTGGTAAAGGAATGTTAAACTTTTGAGGTAGGTCCAGCTCGACGAACATCGTTTGCAGCATCAGCAGAAGTTCTTCGTCTTCCCATTGCCGTGCATCGAAAGCCGGCGAGCGCAGCCACTCTCGAACGTTCGCTGACACTGACACATCGCTGAAGCACAATCATGAACATCCACTTCGTAAATACGTAACTTCGGTTGTGCAACAAAGGTATAGGAGAATTTTGATTAAATTTCATTGCCAAGGTTGGTTCGATTTTTACTTCTGACGACGTGGCTTTTTAATTGCGACGGTGTATCAAGCGTGACATCAGCTTCCAATTCTTCTACTTCGAGAAATATCGGAGTAATTTTCATTTTTAAATGTAATCCTTGAAACTTGAAATTTGGTAAGGATTGAATTTATCGCATATTATTCTCAACGGCAGAAATTCATGTTTTAATATTTAGGAAATTCGTAATTATCAGAGTAATTTTCAGTGTTAGATGTAATCTTTGAAGCTTAAGATTTTTGTGAATTTCCATTTTCAGATATAATTTTAGAATGTTTAGAATCTCTGTAAGGGCTGAATTTATTACACAATATCCTTCAAAAAGGTAGACATTCATATCTCACGTTAACGACAAGACCAAACGAAATTCAAACTGATTTTCTCTAAAAAGAGACAAGAATATCTCTAGAAATTTCCGCAGGACTAAGAAAATTCAAGGGAAAGATTACGTATACGTGTAGATTGCGCGAAAAGGTTAGAAGAAATTCGGAATGACGTTCGAAGCTCGCAATTAAATTCAATTTTGCCACTCGACAGATTACCAATCCCAGAACCCTAAAAGCAAAAACAAGGCTAAGCACTCTCACCTACGAACCGTTAAATTGTACAATCTTTGTCTTTTCAACGAGCCGTGTGACTTCGCTTCACGGTAGCAATTTCTACTTAATTACTTGCTTCCCTCTAAGAGAAGAGCTACAAACCGAGATGATAATTTCCAAAGCCATCATTTCGCTACGAGAAGGAAGAGAGAGAGAGAGAGAAGCGACGAGTTGATCTTCCTTTGAAAAGCATCGCGGCTCCTTTGAAATCGTAAACGTCATCGCTTTTACCCGTCGTCCGGATGAAATTAATCGGATTAATATGTCATTTCATCGGAGTACAGTTGTTGGCTGACATTCAGTACTTTGTGGAATAATGGGTTATCCGCTTATTGAACTAAATCAACATGGAGCCTAACCTACAACGGATTGGAATTACATTAGAGATGTATCGATTTGTCCGAGTAACGTGCCAGACGATATGCGTGGCCGATCATCATTAATACACTGTACAAATGTCCCAATATGGTGCAATATAATGTATAATTATATGAAATTATTCCAAGCAACAGATATGACGTAATTTTCATTCAAGAAGAAAGACTTTTTCAGAAATAAACAAAAAAGAGAATTACTTTATTCTGTGAATATTGATATTAATTTTGAAGGCACATATATTCATTACCACATTGTTTAATGCAAATTTCTCTATATTGCGTAATACAATAATGTATATACTTATATAAAATTGTTCGAAACAGCAGATATGACGTAATTTTCATTCAAGAAGAAAGACTTTCAGAAATAAACAAAAAAGTGAATTACTTTATTTTGTGAATATTGATATTAATTTTGAAGGCACATATATCCATTACCACATTGTTTAATGCAAATTTCCCTATATTGTGTAATACAATAATGTATATACTTATATAAAATTGTTCGAAACAGCAGATATGACGTAATTTTCATTCAAGAAAAAAGACTTTTTCAGAAATAAACAAAAAAGTGAATTACTTTATTCTGCAAATATTGATATTAATTTCGAAGATGCATAAGTATGATAATTATTACGTCAATTAAGTATGATTAGACATAATTTCAATCTACAATGTAAAGAAGATAGAATTAATTGCAACAGTTCATATTCAGTGTATAGCTGATGGAACATGTGTTTTGTGATTTCATTTGATAATTGAAATTCAATATTGAAATAGCTTCAATTAACAATGCAACTCAATATTCGACCACAATATTATACTATACTAAATTGGACGTTGTGCACGTGTATGAACGTATTCTCTTGAATTTTAGAAATATCGTTCGTCGATAACTTTCATCAATCACTATGTTCCATATACATATGTACCTATTTTCGAACTATACATTATTGTACAAACCATAAACTACCTTACAAAAGCTTGTGCAATAAATTTCACCATTTGTGTCGATTGGAAAAGTCAATTTAAAGCTATCATAAAGATGAGCCGAGTCATTTTTATAGGTTTTCTCTTTATTGAAAAAATTGGTAAATTTTCCAAAGGAATTACATATCACAAAATAAGGGTTGAAAAATAAGTTAAATTTCTAACTTCTTCTTTTAAAATAAAACTACCGTTCATCGAAATATACGTTAATGTTCGAACCACAACTGAAACCACCCTTTTAAAAGCTTCTATAACAAATTTCACATGTTGTATCGATTGGAAATGTCCATCTAAGAGTACCACAAAGACGAGTGACACCATTTCTTTCCGTACTACCTTAAATCGTCTAAAATATTCAATTCAATAATCTGAAAAATGAACAGTATTAAAAAAATTAACGACATTAACTTCTAGATTCATACTATCTCTCACACAACGTTAGAAATAAGTTAAATTTTGTCACCTTTTCCTATACTATCGTCCCTAAGTATGCCTACTCTTTTGATCCAAGAACTGGTGAACTTTCAAAAGAACAAGTAAGTTTTAAAAAGGAAAGCTCAGAGGTGAGTCAAATTTTCTATTTTTTCCTTGGAAACTGCTTAATTGAAGTTTCTCAGAGGAACAAAGGACACCGTAGACAAACGATCGATGCAACATTTACGAGAGACAGAGAACATCTCTTCCAAAGTTACGTGGGAGCCGATGTGTCGAGATCGAGATAGGATAAAGGAGATCAAGCAGAGGCACGTGGTAGGGAAGACCGCTAATTGGCAATCCGCATTTAGTTCGCGCATCAAATCGGGGCACGGCGATAATGTTCGCTTTGTGACGCTCACCATTATAACCTGGCAATGACAGGTTATTACAGAGATAACGGTAGTTTAATAGCATTTCGCGGTAACGCAACGGAGCCTCCTACCGTCGAGGATTATCCTTCACCGGGATCGAACAAGATGTGAGACGGCGAATAAAAATTCTCCAATGGAAATATTCCTTCGTCTAATACGTCGAGCATTGCTTGATCAACCTCCTTGCTCCTCTAGTGTCTGCCACGAGGAGTTCGAGCATTACATTTACGTATTCTAAAGGAAAATTCGTTCTTCCGATAGATCAACCTCTTTGCTCTTGTATAGCGCTCGCCGCGAGGAGTTCGAGTATTGTAAGTTTGGGATCACTGTGCATTGCAAGTTACACAAAAATTTCCAGAAAAAAGTAAGCAATTTTAAGAACATTTTAACGAATTTTTTATAATTTATACTAATCGAAATGGGGTAAATTGCTATTGATCACTACAACATCGTTTCGAATCTATAAAAAATTAGCAACAGATTCAATTTTGGTGTAAACTGATTCGAAATTTTTGGCCGGTGGTGTATGCATACTCTAAGAAATTGCGATCAGCGGAATTCAGTGAAAATATGACGTGCATCCTCGTCAGTGAACATTTTATATATTTATGTTGAAGATAAATTATGGGGACACTGGTGAAATACTTCTTCACATTTTGACAATACACACTAAGTCGTGATATCATTATTATATCAGTGACTAAGTTATAATATAATCATGTCAGTGTTCAGTGAAAATATTATACCTTTAAGTTAAAAATAAATAATGCCAAAACGCAAAAAATTCCAGTCTTTACTTTATAGTGAAAAGACATGATAGAAAATTAGAAATTGTCGAATGTCTAAAGAGAAACAACGAAATACAAACCTATACAAAACTTCTTTTTGCTTAGAAAAATACCTCATCTGCACAAAATTACGCCCAGTTTACCATTTCACGCGCCTCGATAAATAAGAACCTTAAATTCCAAATAGTCGAGCAAGAATTTCGCTTCGTTTCATCGCGCGTTGATCACTCAACGCGATTCGACCATCGATTAAAAAGATTCATCCGTGAAATTGAAATACTGCTTTTATTTTCGTTCTGGAAGAAAAACAATCTAAAAGAAAAATCCCGGCCAAACGTTAAACCCAGTTAAAAAGTGTTATCGACTGTAACCGCTTAATAATTTTACCTTTCGACATTCACGGATACAATCCAGCGTATTTTCGTGCGGTTTCCGCGAACGACGATTTGCATACGTGCACCCAATACACATTTGCTTCGACTTACTTTTCTTGTTTTCCCGCGAAAATCGATTCGCGTTTATTTTTGCGCCAATTCCTTTCCATACTCTTCGTCCACACAATTTCCATGTTCACGCTGTGAATTCATCATAATTTAATATTATTGCCCGTATTTTTTTCTGTATTTAAGACTTGTTCCTAAAATTCTTCCTTCAAATTTTTTCCATATTCACGGCGCACGATTTCTTTCTGATCTAATTGCTTTCCCAACAAACACCATCCGCGAGAATTCGACAACACGTGCAGCAGAAAATTATAAAAAGAAGACGCCTGTACATTTCGACGTGTTGAAAAACGTTAGAAATACAGAAACGTAGTACGAAAGTTAAATTGAAACAGAGTAAATAGAAAAAAAATAGATCCTTCGCTTTGCCCAAGCTGTCAGCGTTCTCCGGGATAAATACTCCCGGTGAAAAGCCCTCGAACGGTTGTTTTCGAGTCTCGACATTCTCCCGGTGATGCGTTTTATAAAGGGAATCGAATGACCGCGAAAGGGGGGAAACGGGATGGGGAAAAAGCGAGGCGGCAGACGAAAACACGATAAGCGCTCGTTTCGTTACACGAAAATCGAGTGCGATATGATCGTCTTGCTGTTATTGTCGAATTTTGAAATATCTCCCGTGGAGATTTAGAGAAATTCTCTGTTACACAGTTAACTTAAACGTTTCTCGATTAAGAATTCTTGAAGATTCGTTGAATACATTAAATCCTTGGACGCGACAAAGACAGTTCCATTAGTAACAAAAATTAATTTCAATTCTAACTTTCGTTTTAATTCG